CCACTTAGATCTCAACTCCACTGTCACTCTCCAGATTCCCCCACCCCTCTTCTCCCACCCTAGGCCAGGCCCCTGTCCTGTGCTCTGGGTTAAGTCCCCTAGCACCTCCCGGCTGGGTGACCTTGAGCATGGCATCCATTGCCGCCCACATTTATACTCAGGTGTGAGCCTCTGGTCCCCTCCTCCGTGACAGCACACCCTGTCTGTGTGGTCCCCTCAGGACCCAGCTCAGCACCTGCCCACTGAAGGTGACCAAGTAGTAGCCCTTGAACGCATTTTCTCATGAGGCCATTGGAGGACAGGGCAGCAAGGTCCCCGCACGCTGACCAGCCCAGGCAGCTGGTGTGCAGTGTCCAGCCCACCCCTCTGGCCTCCACAGCCCTCCCGGAGGACCGGTGGCCAAAACAGGCCACTTCACAAAGAGTGAATCGCCAGCCCCCCGACAAGCTCGCCCCTCTTTGGATAGACTCTGGCCCAGTATTCCTCACGCTGGGCTGGGATCCCTGGAGCTCTGCCTGGGACTCAGGGTCCAGATTGGGCACCCTCCTGGAGCCTCAACTTCACCCCAGGTAAAGAATTCAAAGCGTTATTTTTAGATGGGAAGTAACGCAGGTATGGCACGAAGCAGGATGCAAAATCACATTCATTTTTAAAAGGTAAAACACAAGGCCTTGAAGAAGTTGCCTGCTCCTCCTCCAGATTCCCCCACCCCCGTCATTTCTGCCATCTCGTGCCTGCCCAGGTGGCAGGGGGCCCCCAGCCATTTCATCCTCACAACAGGCCACGGGGCAGGGGCTCCAGTGGCTGCCATGTAAGGGACGGGGCGCCCAAGGCTCAGAGAGGTGACGCAACTTGCACAGCAACCAGGAAGTATGGCAGCTCTTAGCCACCGCACTCCCCTGCCTCTCTGAAAGCAACGACTTGGGGAGAGTCATCTGTGAGACACCATTCTAGAATACTCTAGAATAATTCTTAACCCTGTGGAATTCTAGTAGTGAGGGGAGGTCTCCTCCCCGACCCCAGCTGCTCTGATGTGTTGGGCTGCTGTCCAGGGTTTCACTGGGTTTCATTCGGAGAATCTGTGACAGGGTCAGCCGCTCTTTCTCACGCTAAGGTGCTCGGGAGAGTTCCAGCCCTGCCATGCTGGGAGGGGAAGTCTGCGTGTTCAGCGTGCCCCTGAACCCGAGGCACCAGCCAGAAGGAAGGGGTGCTGCACAGGGTGGGCGGCCTGGCCTGCAGGGGAGTCCCGGGCCTCCCGGCACCTCCTACCTGAAGTCCTCAGAGGCCAGCACCTCGCAGTAGTACAGGAGTTTGCACTTGGGGCCAGGGCTGTGCAGGGCCGTCAGGACGTCGTCCACGCCCGGGAGGCTGCAGGCCACGCTGCCAGGGGGGCTGTGCATCTGCCACTGGAGCAGGTAGACCCCAGGCCACCGGGTCACGTGGGAGCCCTGAAACACAGCAGCCACGCCCTGAGGCCCGGCCCTCCTGGGGACAGGAGGATGGACTGAGCCTTCGTGAGCTCCCTGTCACCAGGCCTGGAGAATGGGGCCTCCCCCCTCTGTCCTTTCGCCAATCCACCAGCAAACCCTCTCTGAGGGCCTCCTGAGGCCATCCTTGCTGCCCCCACCTGCCCCCACCCCACAGCAGCCCTGGGACCAGAGTGTCTCTCTTAACCTGGGGGGAGGCGAGGCCCGGGGTGGGGGTGCAGCTGCAAGCCGGCACAGGTGAGAACACCTGGATTTTGTGGGGCTTTTGTTCTGGGATTTGGAGAGGCATTTGGGCGGGGAGCTCACAGGTGTTAGAGTTTGTTGAGGGGCGGTGGAGAGTGGGAAAGGGAGGCGCTGGTTGTTACAGGAGCAGCTCTGAGGAAGGGCTGAGATGTTCGCTGAGAACCAGGGGTGGCTGGCGGGTGATGTGCGAGACAGCCTTCTGCTCCGTCCCCCTCGGAACCTTCCGCGAGAGCTGCCGCGCTCGCCAGGGCTTGTGCAGGTGGCTCTGTGTGTGTCCTGTGTGCATCTGGGGGGCAGGGGGTGATGTTCCACCCACAGCACTGGGGCCAGCTGGGGGACTCGTATTCCAGTTACACGTCCAACTTCGGTTCCAGACCTACAGAGTCTGCATCAGACATCTGCGCCCTGACCTCAGGGGACGGGGGGGGGGGGGGACGCTGCACCTCCCCTCCCATGCAACTGACCTCCTCCCACTGCCCAGCACTCGCCCTGCCCCCACACCCTCCCGCCTTCTCCCTGCTGCCTCCACTTTGTTCTTGCTGCTCCTTCACCGGGACATCATCGCCCCTCTCCCTTCAGCACCCGGCCACTCCTCCAGGTCTTCCATGTTGAAGCCCCTTCAAGTCACGCAGAGAACTTGGACTTCCAATTCCAACACCCTTGTCCTTCTCTCTGCATGAGCGTGAGTTAATGTAGTGGGTTGAATAGTGTCCCTCCAAAATTCATGTCTCACCAGAACCTCAGAATATGACCTTATTTGGAGAGAGAGCCTCTGCAGTTAAGGATTTAGAGGGCTGGTGTCCTTACAAGAGAAAGGACAGGGAGATTTGAGACACAGAAGAGAGACACAGGTGCCGGCGCTGTACGGACAGGAGCAGAGACGGCAGTGATGCGTCTCCAGGCCGAGGAATGCCCAGACACTGTGTGTCTTTCCCACTGTCCTGCATAGTCCCCGAGGCTGGGGACCACGTCTGGCACACAGTGGACCCTCAGTACTGCTTGATGAGCGAATACGTGATCCTAAGACACGAACCTGGATGCTCTCCCCCTCCCGGCAGACGAGGGGTGCCTCCACGCGGCTGTAATCCCTGCCGAGGACCCAGCCTTTGTCGATCAGCTGCTCCCGGGGGCCTGGCCTGGGCACCTGCCTGGTGTGGTACAGGCTGAACACCACGTCCCCTCGGAGGATGTCGAAGTCCCAGGTGATGACCGACTCCCCTTCCAGAATCTCCACTGCGACCTGCTCGGAGACAGGTGCCGTCTGAGGGTCCCAGCCAAGAGGGCTGGGGACAACGGCAGCAGGAGGTGCCGTGGGTGCCCACAGGGGTCTCCTCTGCTGGGCCACGTGCTCATTCTCGGCCACAGGGAGGGCGGGCTGCCAAGGCCCCCAGCTGCCCCCTTGTCTGAGAGCTGCCCTGGGCAAATGGACCCGCCTCTCTCTGGAACGCCTGGGGGGTCCCCCAGGGGTGACCCACAGCCAGGACTGACAGTGCCAGGGGCCCCCCTGTGCTGCTCTGCGCATTCCAGCGCTCCCTGCTGGGTCAGCTGGGATTCCTCCCCACGCCCACCTGCCTCCCCGCCTGGCGGGCCTGTCCTGAGAGCTCGCCCACCCGCGACAAATCACCAGCACGAGAATCCTTCCCTCAGGCTGCATTTTGGGGGAACCTGACCTAAGACGACACCCCAGCCCAGGGGGCCCGCCCAGGCCAGGCCCGGCACCTCATGGGGGGCCCCGCGGAGCACGCTGGCTGAGTGGTAGGTCTCGCTCCACTGCCGCAGCTGGTCTGCCCGCTCCTGCTCCTCTTCCGTCAGGTACAGTGACTTGGGGACCAGCCCTCCTTCGGGGACATTGCACTGTGGGCCAGAGACAAAGGGTGGCAGGTCAGTGCCCGTCGAGGCCTGGCTGGCCTGACCCACAGAAGGGTGCTCTGTGAGCCCCGAAAACAACTTACACAGCCACCCCTTGCTGAGCTGTGCAGTGGGCTTCTGTGACGCCATTTAGACCCCAGAACCACCAACACCACAGGGACAATTATTTCACAGAGAAAGGAAACGGAGGCTCAGAGAAGTCGGGCCACTGGCCCACGATCGCATAGCAGCAAGTGGCTGGGCCAGGGCACAAACTCACATTGTCAACCCCCTAGGCTCATGTCCCTTACCCCGATGCAGGGCTGACGTCTGGGCTCAGGGGTCCCTCACACTGCACCCCGCAGCGGTGCACCTCCGCGTTGGCGGTGGGGATGGAGCAGTCTCTCAACTGTCCTAATCTGCAGATCTCCCCAAGTCAAAGGTGCCCTGGATGGCCAGGCCTTAGCAGACCCTCTGCCATCGCCAAACAATGATTTCTGCCCTCATGTCACTTGCTAAAACACTAGGACCAACAAGTGAGGCCACTGCCAGCGTCCATCAGTAAGTCACCCTCAGATCGGCAGGCCCACTCGCTAAAAATAAATCCTGCGTGTGACGTATTGCAGTGGAGGGAACAGGCGGGCCTGGCCAAATTCCTACGAAAAGATGTTTTTATCCAGAAATGATGCAAGCTCGCTGTTTGGTATTTTTGCTATGACAGCTCTGTCGACTGATGGCCACGCGAGATGACAGAGTTGTGACGCAGGCTCCCCGCTGCCTTTCGTTTCTCGCCCAAGGCAGGCAGTGAAGGTGTCTGGAGACTGCCTCCCTTGAAGCAGTGGCCGGACCGTCCCAGCTGTGTGGCTGTGGGCTGGTCCCTTTGGGTATGCCAGCTCCAGGGCCCAGGGCCACCAGGACATGGGAGTCAGCTCCCCTGCAGCACTGGGCACAAAGTGAGCAGGCAAACTCTCACCGCTGCTCAGCAAGACCTTTGGTGGCAATACAGCATGGGTAAGCCTTTGACTGGCCCGGTCTTTGGGCTTCCAGAAACTTCTGTGACACTCACTAGGTTTGAAAGAACCAAGGTAAGGCCCAACCTCAGAGAGGTGTCACCTCTCTTTGAGGCAGCTTCTAAAACAAGCGCTGTCCCCACTGAGCGCCAGCATGGCCCTCCCCAGGCAGCGCCCACCCCGCAGCCCGGCCCCCCTGGCCCCCGCGCCGGCCGCGGCGGCCTCACCACGCTCTCCCCCCCGAGGAAGTCGGGGATCACGTCCTTATCCAGGTAGTCGACGAGGCCCCCGGGGCCCTGGTAGTTGCTGCCGCTGCAGATGAGGAACTTCCGCCGGGTGTTCTCGTTGATGAAGGGGCTGATCTGAAAGGGGAAGGAAGGCAAGGTGGGGTGGATTCTGCGTGGAGATGCAACTCTCATGGCACGGACCCAGTCACTGAATCACGGACAGGGACGTGGGTGTCACATGGACCTCATCACTCTAAAGTGATTCAGCGGCTCTTGGCGCATTCGCTGCGTTGTGCAACCACCCCCCCCCCGTCTAGTTCCAAGACTCGTGCTTCACCCCAAAGGGAAACCCCACACCCACTCGCAGTCACCCTCTCCCCTCCCCTGCCCCTGGCAGCCGCTGATCTGCTGGAAGTGAACCCCGCTTCCAGCCGGGCCCCGGCGGGCTGACTCACCCCCACCCCACCCAGTGCACGCCTTCCTAGGAAATCTCCGAGCAGCACACGCACTTGGTTTGCACAGAGGTCAGGACAATGGGGGATAAAAAGCTTCCGAAGCAGCTCCTGCTCCCCAGGTGCCTTGAAGCACCTGCAGAGGCCAGAGAACTTTCTGCCCCCTAAGCACGTCCGTGCCCTCCCCAGCTCACAATCCTCCGTGGCTCCCTACTGCCCCAGGACAAGGGCCCATCTTCACCACAGGCTGGACTCCCGGCCTTCCCCGGCACCACAGTCCCTTTTGCTCCTGTCTGCTCGGGCCACCCTGGACTGTCCTTTCAACTCCCCCAAAGCATCAATCTGGGTCCCGCCCCCGGGCCTGTGGCCAGGCTGTGCGGTCTGCCTGCCACACCTTCCTCCTGCTGTTCCTGGGAAGACTCCGCTCCTTCCTCAGGTCTCAGCCTCATGTCCCCTCCTCAGGGGGCCCTCCTCTGTTCCCCAATCTAGATATGCCCCTGCACCATCCCCCGCCTGACTCGGTGTCTGAGAGTCCTGACATCCTCATGTCCTTGTCACAGAGAATCCTGACGCTTTCACTTGGGGGACTACCTCGTTCATCCCCCTCCCCCACCCTGTGACATGGGGGGTGGGGACCCAGTGGCTGGTTTGTTCACTCTAAACCCCAGGGCCTGGACAGGCGCCTGGCACATAGTAGGTGCTTAGCAAAACGCCGACTGGCTGATTGAACTTTCGGTTCTCTCTTCGCTATCCTGATTGAACCTTGACTGCCTGGCTTCTCACGCCTTCGCCAACCCCAGGCAACGCGCGCACAGCGGATGCGGGATCTGCAGGCCTGGGGGGCTCTGGGGGGGCCTGCGCTGCCCTGCAGCAAGGCCTCGGGGCAGAGGCGTCCAGCTGCAAGTGACAACCTGTCAGCAGGCTGTAAAGTCGATTTCGTGCATCAAGATTAGCCTATTTGGAACGGAACAGAAGGCAACAGTCAAATGGTGTTGTCAGTAGTTAAAGGAGCCGTCACTTTGCGGACCCCCGGTTTCAGCGGTACGTGTGTGCCGGGTTAAATACAAAGTGTGTTTCATACTGTGGGTCCTGGGCAGAAAGTTTTAAAAGCCCCAAAGGACAGGGTCCAAATGCTCCTCGGAACCAGCTCTCGGGAGTCCCAGGGACACGGCCCAATTCTGAGTGTGACCCTCACGTCCGAGAAGGAGAACAATGAAGACACAGCGTGGTCCATCCTGCAGTGGAACGTCGTTCGGCCTCGAGAAGGAATGAAGCCACACAGGCTGCAACCGGGCGGACCTCGAGGACCTTGTTCTTGGTGACAAGAGCCAGACACAAGGGGCCACACGCCGTACGATCCCACTTTGGTGAAATGTCCAGAACAGGCAAATGCACAGACGCGGAAGGAGATCGGTGGCTGCCTGGGGCTGGGGGACGGGGAGGGACTGCCCACGGGCTCGAGGGTCCCTTGGGGGTGATGGAAATGTTCTGGAACCGGACAGGGGTGGCCGTCGCAGAACTGTGAATACACCAAAAAACGCTGAATTCTGTGCTTCAAAAGATGTTTCCGGCAGATGAGCTACATCTCAATAAAGCCGTTGAAAGAAATGACACAGGAGAACCAGGCGGCCCACGGAGGGAACCCTCCCACAGCAGCCTCCCCGCCGTGGGACGGGGCCCAGGCCGTGGCTCCTACCAGCGTCCAGAGCACGGGGAAGACACGGGGGGCGCGCACGAGGAGCAGCCGGCCCAGCGTCTCGGGGTAGTTGTCCTGCACCACCTCGATCATGCGCAGCAGCGCCTTCACGCCCGGCCGCCACAGGTGCCGCATGTTCAGGCCCTCCAGGTCCAGCAGGCAGGTCCAGGAGCTGCGGCAGAGACGGTCCCCGCTCCACCTGGCCCTGCCACCTCCCAGGGCCCCCAGCACCCGCCCCAGGGATGGACAGGGAGGCTCAGTGAGCCACGGCTGGGAGCAGACGGGGCCACAGGACACTCGTGGATCAGAGGTTCAGAGCGTGGACTCCAAGGCCCAGCACCTGAACTTGAGTCTCCCCTGCCATCCCGAGAGCTGCGTGACAGGGCCACCAACCTAACCTTCCGCCTCAGGACAGTGGCGAGGTCAGTAACAGACCCTATCTCAAGCATCTGTTGCTGGGGTTAGGTGAGATGGGTATGGAAAGGTCTCTGCAAGGACAGCACACAGCAGGCACTCAATTAAAGCTAGTTATTACAGTTAATTGATGAAAAGGTGCTAACTACTAGATACAGCATGGGAACTAAGAGCATCCACTCCACAGCCAGATGGCCCAGGTTCAGATCCCAGCCCTGCCACCTGCTGTGGCCTTGGCCAAGTTATTGACCTCTCTGTTCCTCCATTTCACTACTATTAATTCATTAGGAAAATGACCGCGTTATGCAGTGGCTGGTCCCTGGGAGCCTCTGCATCCCAGATTTGTTCCCTCAAACCTGCACACACCTCTGCAAGGAGTCCCTATGTGACACCCCCTCATGTGAACCATGTGGAGTGAATTCTTCTTCCAGCCACGACCTTGATTGATCAATCCCCACCCCACCATGTTTCCTTAGGAAATCTGCAGACGGCAAAGGAATTTAATTTTCACCAAGATCAGGGTATTTGGGGATAAAAAGCTTAAGCATCAGGCCCTGACCGTCCCTGTCTCTTTGGGCTGCTGGAGGGATGAAATAGGTCAAGGTGCTTAGAAGAGCACCTGCTGCGTATACAGTAAGTACTATATGCGTGTTTGCATTCTTTTTAGCAATTACAGTTTTTGATAATCCATTAAAAAGCCGCTTTACAGAAGAACGAAGCTGCATCTCAGAGGGGTTCTCTGCCTTTGGGGTGATGCTCTGGGAAACTCAGGTCAGGGACAGAAACTGGGGGGAGCGAGAGGAGGATGGTGGGTTACGGGATGAGATCCCGGGAGGCTGGTCTGCCCCGGGGACGGAGTCAGGTAGAACTTGGGGCAGGAGAGTGGTCTCGAAGAGCAAAGTCGAGGAGGCTGTCGAGGGGCAGGGGGAAAGTCCTCAAGCCTGAAGCCAGATGGGACCAGGTTCCAATCCTGCTGTGCCCACCACCGAGTCTGTCTCCCCGCCCGTAAAGCACAGGGACGATTACAGGTGAGGACCCTGACTGGAGCACCTAGCACGGTGCACGTGCGCAGTGCCCCTCAGCTGTCTGTTATTTAGGGGGGCTCTTGCCTGATGGGACGGCCAAACTGCTTTGTGTTTCCCTCACACCTCTTCTGTCCTTCCTCGTTGACGGCAAGAACCTGGGGGCGAGACACGGAGCTGCCAAAGGTCCACCTCGCTGCTCAGCCGGCAGCAGCCCTCCCCGGGCCTGGGCCCAGCCAGGGCTGCAGGCGACGGGGCTCCCAACTCACGTGCCGCAGCAGCGCCTCCTCCCCCACCGCCTTCATCAAGCCCTTGGTGTCCATCTGGCCCAGGCGGAGAATGTAGAGGGGGCGGCCGTCTTCGTGGGTGGGGCCAAAGAGAAGAGACCGTTATTCAGCGGACAGCTGATGGGGGGACAGGTCAGAGCCACGGGTGAGAGCTTCACCCCGCAGGCTGTAGCTCGCTAGGGCCCGACCAGCCCCTGCAGCCAGCAGCGCCATCACTCCCGCCCGCACGGGGCGCGACAAGCACAGGTATTTTTTCCGTAAGGCGCATCCCACCTTCTCGCGCTCAGGCACACTCGGCGACCTTTCAGCACTATTCTTGGGGCCGTTTTAAACAGCAAAAGCACCAAGAAAAAGCACAAAAATGTTAAAATGTGGCACTAAAGAGGCCACAAAAAGGACACCCGTTTGCAGTACGGGAGTTGAGACGAGGGGGCGGAGCGTCGCCTCACTCACCCCGGCAGAGAACGAGCACATCAACTCTGCACGTGTCTGGGAAGCCTAGCGAGAGCTCCGTGTCCCTCGGCGGTGACGAGTAGATTTTAGCAAGCAGGGGAGTTCGCAAATACGGAATTCATCAGCAATGGGGATCGACCATGTGTCAAAAGGACCCACGCCAACCGAACCTTCAGCATAGCACTTTCCCTAACCAATCCATGGGAGTTTTTACATAAAAGACATTTAAAGAACGCAATAGGCATTGGTGTCGGTGGCAGTTCAATTTAAAAGTCTGGAAAAGATGTGTAGTGGGTGGAATAGTGCCCCCAAAAAACTCTCCCCACTGGAACTTTAAAATGGGACCCCACTTGGAAACAGCCTGAGCAGATGTGGTTAGTTGAGGAGCTCAAGACGAAATCACACTGAGGCTGAGCCCTAAATCCAAAGACCCGGTGACCTTGTGAGGAGAGGAGAGGGCACAGAGATACCCAGAGAAGAAAGACGTGACGACAGGCAGACACCGGGAGGACGCTGCCACAGGCAAGGCACCCCCGGGCTACCGGAAGGTGGAAAAAGTGGAGAACAATTCTCCCCCTAGAGCCTTCGGAGTGAGGCTGACACCTTGATTTCAGACTTCTGGCCTCCAGCACTGTGACAGAATAAATTTCTGTTGTTTTGAGCCACCAAGTTTGTGGCAACTTGGAAATACAATATACGCGCAGCCACTGCGAATGTGATTGCAATGACCTAGTCATGGCGGGCTAACCCACGCCGCCCAGCAGAGAAGTGTCTCTTCCTCAAGCCCCGAAGTCTATTCCAGCTCTACCTCCTTCCAGATGCCCAGAGAGTCAAAAGGAAATATAATAAGGCGTTAGTGTGAAGCAGCAGTGACCAAAGTGTGCTCTACCCATGCATCGCGGAGGTGGTGGCACGCACCTGCGTCCTGGTAATGCCAGCCCCCTGCGTAGAACTCCTCCAGGAGCGCGGGGGGCCGCCAGGTCTGAAGGAGGAGGTCCACCTGCTGCTGCTTCCGCCAGCTCAGGGACTGGCACAGCATTTCCCGGGCCTTGTCCAGGTGGAAGTCACGGGCCCGCAGGAACCGAAGGATGTGCTCGTCTTTGGGGATCTGAGACACGAAGAAGGAAAAAGCCCGCAGAAGGGCGTTCCCTGACCCCGCAGACCAACCGCAGACAACGAGCCTCCTGTACCTCATCTGCAAAACATTTAGCTGGGAACAGGGCCACATTCTCCCCAACCACAAAGCAGAGACAGCCAAGGAGTGGACAGTAGTGAGCATCTGTGCACTGTGGCCGCCTAACATCCCTCCCTCCTTGTGCCAGGAATAGCGTCTTTCTTTTGGGGAACGGCTCCACCCCACTCCCCGACATGCTCATCTTGCAAAACCAGCCCCACGAAGAGCCGCCCTTTCTAGGGAGCGCACACTCGGAGCTGGACGACACAAACTTAGCTCATTCTCGCCTTTTCTCCTCCCCCTCCCTCCGCCGTGCCTGAGGCCAAGTACCTGCCACCAACCGGATGTGATCCAGGGAGCCCCAGCCCTGCACCCACCTTGCCTTTGTGGGTCTCCTGCAGCCAGCGCCGAAGCTGGATCAGGCAGCTCTCCTGCATGGGCGTGAGGCGGCCCAGGCACCTCTCTATGTAGTCCGCGTCCAGCTTGTCCCCTTGGAGGAGGAGCAGGGGTGGCATCAGGACCAGAGGAGATGCCACAGGCCTCCTAACCATGTGGCCCGCCCTTTCGGGAGCCCTCCCTGGCTCACTGGCCGCCCCAGCTCTGAAACATGGTTCCAAGCCAGGCTGTGGCCTCCTCCGAGGACAACAGCCACAGGGACTCTGAAGGCATTCATTTTTCCAGCCCAGTTCCAAGGCGGTTCTGAAAACTCACACCAGGCCAAACCTGGATCTCTCTGTGAGATGTGATTTTTCCTCTTTGACCCTCAAAAGTGAGGATAATTCCCACCCTCTGGGGCATGCGCAGGGTTAAAACCAGATTCATGGTGTATGTATGGTTTGTATCCTAGTTTTTTTCCCTTTAACATTATATTATGAACATTTTCCAGGTCAATTAAAGTCTGAACTGTGACAAAGGGCTAATTGCCTTAATATACAAAGAGCTCTTACAAACCAATAAGAAATCGATAGGCAAACAGGAAAATGGACAAAGGACAAGAACAGAGATTCAACTAAAAAAGGAAAACAGAGTCGCTAAGCATGAAAAAATAATGTTTGACCTTACTCATAATGAAACAACTGATCATTACTCTACCAGTGATCACTCCTGCTGCTTTCAGAAGTGAAATGTTTAGGAAGAGTCTTGTGGGGAGCTGGGGTGAAGTCAGGAATAGGCAGTTACACACCTTCAGTGGGAACACTGATCAGCACAACCTCTTTGGAGGTCTAATTGGTAAATTCAACAAAATTTTAGTTGCATATAACCCTCTACCCAGCAATCCTACTTTTAAAATTTTATGCTATTTATATACTCCTACAAACTTTTTAAAAATCCTTTTACAAAAGGGTACCACACTATTTGCATTTTTGAAAAACCGAAGCAACCTAAATTTCCATCAATAGAGGACTCGCTAAATAGACTAGTAATTAAACATAATCAATAAATAACAAATAAACCAGGTGTGGTGGCTCATACCTGTAGTCCCAGATACTCGGGAGACTGAGGCGGGAGGATCGCTTGAGCCCAGGAGTTCAAGTCCAGCCTGGGCAACATAGCAAGACCCAGTCTCTAAATAATAATAATAAATGTTTATTAATAAATACGTTGTACTATAGAGTATCAAAAGAAGACATACTCATACAGAAAGTTGTTCGAGCAACATTAGTTAAGTGACAAAAAGCAAAATATGAAATAGAATGTGCAACGTGTTCTCATTTGTTCAACGTAAGGCATGGTGTGCAAATGCGTGTGCACAGGTGTGTGAGTATACATATTTAATATTACACACGTATGTAAGACTCGATAGCTTCAGAGAATATAAACACAGAACTACTGTAGCCTCCAGGGAGAGGAAAGGAATCTTAACTTCTTACTTCACATCTTCCAAGCAGTTTGAATGTTTTTCTACCATGATCATGCATTACTCATACAATTAAAAATAGTTGTAAAACCAGAGGAAAAGGCAGTGTCAAGGCACCAGAGATCAATTTCTGATCTAGAAATAAACCAGCTCTGGCTCTTGGACCGGAATGGGGAGAGGGAGAGGCCGGGAGCAGAGGCAGGAGGCTGAGTCACTCCAAGACCCAGCCCCAGCCCCAAGAGGACCGAGGCGATCCGCCCCCACCCAAGGAGCAACACAGCCCGCCCCAGGGCTGAGCGACCTCGGCTGCAGCGACCTACCATTCGAACTGACAGTCTCCGGAGCAGGGCCTGGGGCACTGCTGGGCCTGTCAGCCTCCAGGGAGCCAGGGTCCCGCTGCCCAACCCGGCCACAGGCGTCCTCCCGGCCTGGGGCCGGCGTCCAGCGGGGGATGTGCGAGGTGCCCTGGGAGGCGAGCTCGTTCAGGTAATGCTCTATCACCTCCTTCCCCTGGAAGCCAGAGAGACCGAGGACAGCGGGGCTCGCCGCAACAGCCAGGAAACCCGCCCCACCTCGCCCTGGTTCCAGCCCTGACACGCAGCGACTGAGCAGCTGAACGTGGCCCCCGTCCGAATGGAGAGACGCTCTGAGTGTCACTACCCACGATTTCCAAACGCAGTGCGAAACGACAAACGTGAAACAGCTCAGCGATGTGTTTTACATCGACGACATATTAGATAAAATCTATCATCGAAATTAATTTTGCCCGTTTCATTACATGAACAGGGCTTTACTCAGCAATGGATCTGAGGTCTTTAAAACAAATATGACCATTTTAACCAGGAAAAAGCATCACAGAGTGTCCCTCTTCTGTCCAGAGAATTCATTCACTACACACACCTGGACATCTCGGGGTTCGGGAGGGACAATGATGAGGGCGCCCCCATTACAGAGCAATGACTTTGTGCCCATTATCTCATGCGATTTGGTCGTTACTAGAATGCCCATTTTACGGATGGGAAGACTGAGGCCCTGGCAGGTTCTTGCTGGATGTCACCTGAGTTGCCAGGTGGCAGAGCGGGTCCTCCCTGGGACTAACGTACCCTCTTGATGTTGGCGGTGTACTGCTTCATGGCGATCTTCTCCAAGGCATTTTCAAAGCCAAAGAAGGACCGGATGTCCAGTGAGGCAGATTGCTCGAAGCAAGTCCAGTCTTCATTCTCGGGGTGGACCTGAAAGCCAGGCAGGGATGATGCTGGATGTCAGCATGGGGCCACCATGCCCCCTGCGGGGGCTCTACCAAGCCTGAGATGGACAGGATGTGACAGCCTGGCAGCACTGTCGGGGACAGCAGTACCAAGGGGGCCCCCACCCAGGGAACAGTGTGGATCTGATAGCTGCACCCCACCCCTTAAATACATATATGTATACATGGAAAATTCCATTAATATATAAATACATATGTTTAGTATATCATTTATATAATATATAAATGACTTATATATCAATATAAATTTTAGATGTATATTTTTAAATAGTTATATATTTATATAAAGATATATATGTTACATATTCTTATATATCAATAGATAGCAGCAAAAAAAAACCTGGGGGCAGAAACATTACCAGGAGTCTGTTAAATACGCAGATTCCTGGGCCCGCCCCAGTCACTCCTGACCAGGGGAGCCGGGGAATCTGCATTTCACGAGCAGCCTCGGTGCTGCTGGTGCGGCCGTCGGTGGGACTCTGAGAACCCCCCACCGGAAGGAGTGTGAAGGCAAGTACCGCCCATGCCTCGCCGCAGATGGGACACCCTGAGCCAGTTTCCAGGAGGACCCCAGAGGAGCTGGAGGCGTGGAATGAACCACTTCCAATGGCCCACAATTGCCCACCCGACCAGGCAGGATAATCTGCTACCGTCCCCATTTTATGGATGTGAATGGTGTGGCCCAGGGAGGGGAAGCGACTTGCCCGGTGTCACTCAGCAAGACAGTGGCAGAGCTGGGTGAATTGGGCAAATGCCTTCCAGACTCCCGGCTCATCCCCCTCAGTCCTCACTCATGCTGTTCCCGCCCCCGGAACTCTGTTCCCAGTCCTTCCAGGGCGGCTCCTCCCACCCTTGGGCGCTCAGCTCCAGTGGCGCCTCCTAAGGAAGCACTGCTTCCATTCACCCCCGGTTCTATCTGCCGGAGCCCTTCCTAGCTCTGTGACAAATATGTACACATTCGTTTGCTTTTCTCCTGTGTGTCTCCCTGGGGAATGGCAGCTCCGTGAGGGCCGCGGTCAGGCAGATGGGTCTGCGGCTGGGTGTCCAGCGCTTGGCTGGGTGCTGACACATGACAGGTGCTCAATCAGTATGTACCGGACAATCATCATGATCATTAATTATATTAAAAGGTAACACTTATATAAGACTTAGTATATGCCAGGCCCTGGCCTAAGGGGTTTGGATAGTATATTGTACTTCATTTAATCCTCACCACAACCTGTGCCGTAGGTGCGATTATTAACCCCATCTCACAGATGAGGAAACTGAGGCAGTTTCCTGAAAGAAAGAAGGAGAGGAGAGAGAGAGAAACGGAGGGAGGGTGCCAGATTTAGCAGATAAAATATAGGATGCCCGTCACATTTGAATTTTGGATAAACAACGAATAGTATATCTCCAAGAAATATCTGAGAAACAATTGTACTAAACGTATCTGCTGTTTACCGGAGCTGCACAGGCGCGGGGCACCCTGCATGCTCCCTGACAAGGCTCCGGGCCGGACAGCGGGGCTGCGGGGGGTCCCTGCGGGGAGGGTCCCGGGCTCACCGTGTAGCTGCAGTTCTCGTGCACCAGCACGCGGCTGGCGAAGGTCTCGTTGTGCGCTTCGATGAGGAGCGTCCTCTCCTTCCAGTTCAAGACGTTTCTCTGCACGAAGACCACGTGCTCCACACCGGCGATCTGCGCGGGAGGGCGGGGGCGAGTCCGGGGGGCCACCCAGACACCCCCGGCCAGGGGCCACGGATCCCTCTCCCCGCTGCCCACCCAAGCCGGGCCCAAATCCGGGGGACCCTGCTCGGTTCCCCC